TCTTAATTGAGCTGACCAGAAGTAGTGTTGAAAGTTAGGAAGACCAAGTCCCCCCCATAGTTTCTGGTTTCATGAGAGTAATTAACTTGATTCTTGGTTTTTTATTACACCAGATACATTTTGAGATATGTCTATTGAGAGATTTAAAATAGTCAGCGGATAAATAGCATGGTAACATTTGAAAAAGAAAATTACATCTCGGTAGAATATTCATTTTTATGACATTGATTCTTCCTAGCAGTGATATTGGCAATGTGGACCATTTAGATAAATCCTGTTTGATTTTGTCAATGAGCGGATTGTAATTCTCTTTAAACAGATTATCCAGGTGTGGTGTTATATTTATTCCTAAGTATTTAAAGCCACCTGGTGACAAATGAAAAGAACAAGACTTTTCCAGATTTGCTGTTGGCGTGATATGTTAGAAACAAGCATTAGATTTCTTAAAATTAATTTTATATCCTGAGTATCTTCCAAATTGCTCTATCGTGTCGTGCAGATGTGCTACTGAATGTTCTGGGTCTGTTAAGTAAAGAATGATATCGTCAGCATACAGAGAAATGTTGTGTTCATCGTTAATCTTCACTCCTTTAATACCCATGTTGTCTCGCACACATGACGCCAGCGGTTCAATCACAATAGCAAAAAGCAAAGGCGACAGTGGGCATCCCTGTCTTGTCCCCCTTGTTAGTGGAAAAACATCTGAGGAACTGCAGTTAGTGATGACCGCTGCGTTAGGATTTTTATAAATTGATTTGACCCACTCCATGAACCGAGAGCCCATATTCAATCTGTTCAAGATAGCAAAAAGAAAATTCCACTCTACCCTGTCAAACGCCTTCTCGGCATCTAAAGAAAGAAGCAGAGAAGGCCTCTGACAGGTGTCCAAATGGTTTATAACATTCAAAAGTCTCCTTATATTATCAGAAGAATATCTGCCCTTGACAAAACCTGTTTGATCAAGACTAATTAGTTTAGGTAAAATAGTTTCCAGTCGTTTTGCTAATAATTTGCTAGCTAACAATACTGTATAGTTTGTATGTATTGTTTGAGATATGTGTTATCCTCCAATTAGCCTACTTTATAACACTAGCTAGCTAACTAACTAACTAACTAAGCTAGCTAACATTAGGACTACTGTATCTATAGTATAATGTGTGTGTGTGTGTGTGTGTGTGTGTGTGTGTGTGTGTGTGTGTGTGTGTGTGTGTGTGTGTGTGTGTGTGTGTGTGTGTGTGTGCAGTGTTTCCCCTAACATTGAGCCCCGCCAACAGAATGAAAATGTATAGTATTGCAAATCCCCACAAAAATCCCACAAAAGTATGTAGTGAACCTGACTATAAGAATATTCTACTCAATATATTGTAGCTAGTGTCTGTCTCACTTTCACTGTTATTTACCTGTGGCTTACTTAAAGGGGACCTATCATGCAAAATGCACTTTGTGATATCTTTTATACATAAACCTGTGTCCCCGGTGCGTCGGGGAACTCACGCAGCGTCAGAAAATAAAACCCTCTCTCTTTTCCTCCGTACCCACATCTTTTAAAAATGGGGGAACAACGAGCGGATACAGATTCCATCCGAACTGACGTCAAATCAGCAGCGGACCCACAGAAAGTTGCTATCAGAAACAATGCCTGACGTGTTTTGGACGTAATCTCGTCTTTGTTTACATTAGCAAGCATCGCTAACACTCAGAGCTAACCTGTACTGGAGAGCACATGTGTTTAAAAAGCAGGAAATAAAAAAAGAACTCACCTTGTGTTGGAGAAACTTCTGTGTAGCAGTGCAGGAGGAGTCACCGACTCAGGAAGGAGACACGGGGAGAGCTGGAGCTTTGATGGCAAACACTGATGGTTTATTACGAGCTTCGGCCGGAGAATTCACAAAACAAGTCCAAGAGCCAGAGGTTCTGACTTCACGGGAGAGTTTCCACGTCAATTCTGAAGAGCTCTACCCCAGACCCGTGTGTTTAGCTAGTTCAGAGAGAATAACCAACATTGAGCAGAACAACATAGAAGCATAACACCTCTATCAGCTGACGCCAGCAGGCAGGAACAGGGAGACACACTGAGAGCACAGCAGCCAAAGTTACAGGTGCGTGTGCTCAGTCAGGTCAGAACTGATACACTGGGTCAAAGCTATGGGCCTTGGGAAATATTTCCCCAACATCTTGTGATAAACCCGCAAGAGAAAAAGCATTTGAGCTCCATACTGTTTCAGAAATAATCCTTGATGTGGTTTAGAACAGGATGGCGTTTTATCACAGCAGAATTTAACTTTATCTCCGGTAGAATTCTGATCAGGCATTAGCTCCGCCTCCTCTTCTTTCTTTTTTTCAAGCTAAGGACCCAAATTCTGCGTTTCTCTAACAGGGCTTCAGAAGAGGGGTTTGAGCAGTATGAGGCGTGGGTACAACGGGGGATCTGTTTGGGATTTTGAAAAAGAAACTTCACAGACATGTTTTATATAGGTCTGGCCCTACAATATATGTTTCAAATATAGTATGATAGGTCCCCTTTAACTGACGCTTATTTGTTTAGTTTAAGGAAATCTAATAGCTCATCTGTGCTGATTATTGTCAGTGGTGATACACTTAATGAGGACCAGGCAGATGAAACAGAAGGTGACAGGAGCCCCCACAGAGAGGAAGAAGAGACAGGTTTGTTTTGATAGGAACTGTGCCAAAAGTTATAAAAGTGTATTGATTTGAAAATGGGTGTATAGTATTGTATGTCATCATTTTTGTAATCTAAATCTAAAAATCCTCTCTTCTCTTCTTTTCTTTTCCACTCCCAAGATGATGTCCCTCCTATGAAGAAGACGGCCTTGGACCAGATGTTCGGTGATTTCCTCCCTGCAAGATCACCAGTAAAGACCACAAAGGAGAGAGCTAAGGAGGAAATCTTAAAGTACAGAGAGAGGGATGCTTTAGGTTTGAGTGGTGATGTGTTGCAGTGGTGGAAAAAACAAGTGGATCTTCCACTGCTCTCAACATTGGCAAAGAGCTACCTGTCCATCCCTGCAACAAGTGTACCCTCTGAACGAGTGTTTAGTACAGCCGGTGACATAGTGACAGCAAAGCGCAGCTTGCTTCATCCTGATCATGTTGATCAACTCATATTCCTGAAGAAAAACCTGCAAGACATATGAGTTCAATCACTCAGTGAGGTGTTATGTCAGTGAGAGTGGTTTTTATTTTACAGCAGCCTGTGACTGCCAATAATAGTTGAAATGTTATTAAGACCTATTTTTGAAAGGTTATTTGTATTCTTTATATGTTCATAATAGAAACAGCTGCTTTCTGCTCACTGGTGAGTTAGCCTACTGAATGAGTGTTAAGGCCCTGACACACCAGCCAGTCACCAGAGAACTCGCCGACACCGACACCGACTGTTCCATCGGCGACTTCTCCTGCGTCTTGGCCGTGTGTCGCACTGGAACACACCACAAAGACTTCAGCCGAGCACGTACGAACTGCGCATGCGTGAGTGGCAATAACTCTCCTTACCAGCAGGCGGCGGTAGTGTGTATTCGTCATTCAAAATAGGCAACAACCGGAAGACAGAGAAGAAGAACAGACTGATATAAACAAACAAATAGCGTGTGCGTTCCATTTTCACTCTCGTCCATCGAAAACATGTTTTAGAATATAAAAATACATGAATGATGAAATGAGCACATAAAGTGCAGACATACTATAAAATCACAGTTAATAGACCTGCATCTGATGATCGCAGTGTTCTGGCGGGTGTGTAGTTTATTGAGTCAGTAATGTAGTAATGGCCACTTCTTGCTAAATTTACGATGAGATGAAAAACCGGACTTGACCAAACAAATCACGGAGCTCTCAGCAGAGGACAGCCGGGGACGCTCCCGCCGATATCAGAGATGTCCCTGCTATGTGTGGGAGGTAAGAGAGGACATTTAAGGGCTATGTTTGATGTCTTTAAGTATCACCTGCTTTCGCCCAACAACGCAAGACGGCCGATATCGGCCTGGTGTGTAGGGGCCTTTATGTACATCAGTCTGGCAGCTGTATGGCCATTGCTATATGGTAATTGTTTTTTGCAGGTGCTGGTCAATAAGGAATAAAACAAAATCCTCTGTCGTACCATATTGAATTGTATCATTATTTTGCACCGTGTTGAATCGCATCGTATCGCCCCGAATCGCATAATGTTGAATCAAATCGTATCGAACTGTATCGCAACAGGGGTGAATCGTATTGTATCACATCGCCTGGTGTTTCAAAGGTATCGTTAATGTATCGCATCGTTGGCAACGTATCGAGATGCGCATCGCATCGGCCTCAGTGATGGAGATGCACATCTATACGTAGTGTGCATATATACGTAAAGCGATAGTATATACCCCCCCCCCCCCCCCCCCCCCCCCCCCCCCCCCCCCCACCCCGCTCTCGGGGTGGACGCCCTCTCAGCCCTGGTCTGGCGGAAACACTGCCTTGGACCCTCTGTCCTAGCACCCTCTGTCCTTGGACCCTGTGTCCTTGGACCCTGTGTCCTTACACCCTCTGCCCTTGGACCCTCACCCTGGAGGAGGAAACCCCCTGATCTCTGATGTCTGACAGGAATATGAGAGTATGTGCGTGGTGTCTCTGTGGGAGGACCACCTCCCAGCTGTCCCCTCCGTCCCCTCCATGGAGACCAGTGGGATTTCTGTCAGAAGCTGCTATTTGGGGGTTTTGGTGGATTGTAAACAGTCCTGGCTGTCAGAGAACGTCTCCTGTGTCTCATTGAGACAGTCAGTTCATCTGAAGCTTTACAGACGGGGGTCTCGGTCCTCGCTCGGATCAGCAATATTCAGGGATGGATTTATAGACCAGACCTTTAACATGAGTACGTGCTGACTGGATGCTGCTGGCTCTCTGGAGGGTAATCAGAAGGAGTGATACTACATTATGAACAGTGACACAGAGGGGACCAGACACCAGCCGGGACCCCTGAGATGTGTTGGTTCAGTAAATCAGAGTCAGGAAGTAGTCTCAAGGTTTATTGAAAAGTCTCACAATCAGCAACCCTGGAGGAAGGCTTTAAACTACCTGGAGTACATTGATTTAGAAACAGAGCTTTGGATATAAGTACATATTGATTTCACACAAAGACTAGCACAGTCCAGACTGAACCTGGTCTGTCAGAGTAAATACCCCCCCCCCCTGCACTATATCTGCTATATACTGGTTTATATGGAGCCCTTAATTCCCAACAGAGTCATGATGACCAGAGTCCTGGATCAGGGTTCAGACCGGCAGAGTATCAGAGCTCAGATCATCACAGAGTCAGCAGCTAGCAGCACATGAAGCGGTTTGAAGACACACACAGGACCAGGACCCACTGCTAGGAACCAGGACCAGGACCAGCCGCTGGGGACCAGGACCAGGATCAGCTGCTGGGGACCAGGAACTGCTGCTGGGAACCAGGACCAGGATCAGTGGCTGGGAACCAGGATCCGTCCTGAAAGAGAAGACGAGGACAGGGTCAATCCAAACCCTGATACCTCAGTGAACCGGTCCTTCAGAACCATGTGGGTGCAGAGGACCAGGTCTCTGGAGGAGGTCTTAGCACAGACCGGGTCTGATGGATCTGAAACTTTGAAAGTGAGCTGCTTCACCTCTGGACTTCCTCTTGTAGTAGATGAACCCGGCCAGAGATAAGGTCAGACCCAGGATCAGCCCTGCAGCTCCGATGGCTATCTTGTTCCTCTCAGACTCTGGCATGGAGGGGTCTGAGGACAGACAGGTAGAGAGAGAGACAGGTGAGCAGAGAGACAGGTGGAGAGACAGGTGGAGAGAGAGACAGGTGGGAGAGAGAGACAGGTGGAGAGAGAGAGACAGGTGGAGAGACAGGTGGAGAGCAGAGAGACAAGTGAGCAGAGAGACAGGTGCAGAGAGACAGGTGAGCAGAGAGACAAGGTGAGTCAGAAGAGACAGGTGGAGAGAGAGAGAGACAGGTGAGCAGAGAGACAGGTGAGCAGAGAGACAGGTGGAGAGCAGAGAGACAGGTGGAGAGAGAGAGAGACAGGTGAGCAGAGAGACAGGTGGAGAGAGAGAGACAGGTGAGCAGAGAGACAGGAGAGCAGAGAGACAGGTGAGCAGAGAGACAGGTGAGCAGAGAGACAGGTGGAGAGAGAGAGAGACAGGTGAGCAGAGAGACAGGTGGAGAGAGAGAGAGACATGGGTCAGACAGACAGGTGGAGAGAGAGAGAGACAGATGGACAGACAGGTGGAGAGAGAGAGAGACAGACAGATGGAGAGAGAGGTGGAGAGCAGAGAGACAGGTGAGCAGAGAGAGAGACAGGTGAGCAGAGAGACAGGTGGAGAGAGAGAGACAGGTGAGCAGAGAGACAGGTGGAGAGAGAGAGAGACAGGTGAGCAGAGAGACAGGTGGAGAGACAGGTGGAGAGAGAGACAGGTGGAGAGAGAGACAGGTGGAGAGAGAGAGACAGGTGGAGAGACAGGTGGAGAGCAGAGAGACAAGTGAGCAGAGAGACAGGTGAGCAGAGAGACAGGTGAGCAGAGAGACAGGTGAGCAGAGAGACAGGTGAGCAGAGAGACAGGTGAGCAGAGAGACAGGTGGAGAGCAGAGAGACAGGTGGGGAGAGCAGAGAGACAGGTGAGCAGAGAGACAGGTGAGCAGAGAGACAGGTGGAGAGCAGAGAGACAGGTGGAGAGAGAGAGAGACAGGTGAGCAGAGAGACAGGTGAGAGAGAGAGAGACAGGTGAGCAGAGAGACAGGTGGAGAGCAGAGAGACAGGTGGAGAGAGAGAGACAGGTGAGCAGAGAGACAGGTGGAGAGAGAGAGACAGGTGAGCAGAGAGACAGGTGGAGAGAGAGAGACAGGTGAGCAGAGAGACAGGTGGAGAGAGAGAGAGACAGATGGGTCAGACAGACAGATGGAGAGAGAGGTGGAGAGCAGAGAGACAGGTGAGCAGAGAGACAGGTGAGCAGAGAGAGAGACAGGTGAGCAGAGAGACAGGTGAGAGCAGAGAGACAGGTGAGCAGAGAGACAGGTGGAGAGAGAGATACAGGTGAGCAGAGAGACAGGTGAGCAGAGATACAGGTGAGCAGACAGACAGGTGGTCAGACAGACAGGTGAGCAGACAGACAGGTATTTACCCCAGTCAGTAACCAGAGGCTCTCCCAGGCTGACGTGCTCCACCATGCAGGAGATCTTGTCTCCAGACCTGCAGACACAAAGCAGCATTCAGACTGGACCTGGACCTGGACCTGGACTCACCTGGGCGTGTACTCCAGGTGGGAGTGGACCTGGATCTGGACTCACCTGGGCGTGTACTCCAGGTGGGAGTGGACCTGGACCTGGACTCACCTGGGCGTGTACTCCAGGTGGGAGTGGACCTGGTAGTACCAGTCACTGTCAGCCAGCTCTTCAGAGGAAGTGACATCAGAGGTGACTTCCTGTCCATTCCTGATCCAGCTCACTTTGATGAGTTTGGGTAGAACTCGTAGACGCTGCAGACCAGCATGGCCGGATGTGATCCACTGGGAGAGACCGTGGAGTGAAGCCGGACGTAGGGCTTCACTGAAACACACATCATCGTTACCGTTAGTAATTAGTGGTTAACTACTGTTATTAACATCATAGTTACCGTTAGTAATTAGTGGTTAACTACTGTTATTAACATCATAGTTACCGTTAGTAATTAGTGGTTAACTGCTGTTATTAACATCATAGTTACCGTTAGTAATTAGTGGTTAACTACTGTTATTAACATCATAGTTACCGTTAGTAATGAGTGGTTAACTACTGTTATTAACATCATGGTTACCGTTAGTAATTAGTGGTTAACTACTGTTATTAACATCATCGTTACCGTTAGTAATTAGTGGTTAACTACTGTTATTAACATCATCGTTACCGTTAGTAATTAGTGGTTAACTGCTGTTATTAACATCATCGTTACCGTTAGTAATTAGTGGTTAACTACTGTTATTAACATCATGGTTACCGTTAGTAATTAGTGGTTAACTGCTGTTATTAACATCATAGTTACCGTTAGTAATTAGTGGTTAACTACTGTTATTAACATCATAGTTACCGTTAGTAATTAGTGGTTAACTACTGTTATTAACATCATCGTTACCGTTAGTAATTAGTGGTTAACTACTGTTATTAACATCATCGTTACCGTTAGTAATTAGTGGTTTACTGCTGTTATTAACATCATAGTTACCGTTAGTAATTAGTGGTTAACTGCTGTTATTAACATCATAGTTACCGTTAGTAATTAGTGGTTAACTACTGTTATTAACATCAATCGTTACCGTTAGTAATTAGTGGTTAACTACTGTTATTACATCATAGTTACCGTTAGTAATTAGTGGTTAACTACTGTTATTAACATCATCGTTACCGTTAGTAATTAGTGGTTAACTACTGTTATTAACATCATAGTTACCGTTAGTAATTAGTGGTTAACTACTGTTATTAACATCATCGTTACCGTTAGTAATTAGTGGTTAAACTACTGTTTATTAACATCATCGTTACCGTTAGTAATTAGTGGTTTTACTGCTGTTATTAACATCATAGTTACCGTTAGTAATTAGTGGTTAACTACTGTTATTAACATCATAGTTACCGTTAGTAATTAGTGGTTAACTACTGTTATTAACATCATCGTTACCGTTAGTAATTAGTGGTTAACTACTGTTATTAACATCATAGTTACCGTTAGTAATTAGTGGTTAACTGCTGTTATTAACATCATCGTTACCGTTAGTAATTAGTGGTTAACTACTGTTATTAACATCATAGTTACCGTTAGTAATTAGTGGTTAACTGCTGTCATTAACATCATCGTTACCGTTAGTAATGAGTGGTTAACTACTGTTATTAACATCATAGTTACCGTTAGTAATTAGTGGTTAACTGCTGTCATTAACATCATCGTTACCGTTAGTAATTAGTGGTTAACTGCTGTTATTAACATCATAGTTACCGTTAGTAATTAGTGGTTAACTGCTGTTATTAACATCATAGTTACCGTTAGTAATTAGTGGTTAACTGCTGTTATTAACATCATCGTTACCGTTAGTAATTAGTGGTTAACTACTGTTATTAACATCATCGTTACCGTTAGTAATTAGTGGTTAACTACTGTTATTAACATCATCGTTACCGTTAGTAATTAGTGGTTAGCTACTGTTATTAACATCATCGTTACCGTTAGTAATTAGTGGTTAACTGCTGTTATTAACATCATCGTTACCGTTAGTAATTAGTGGTTTACTACTGTCATTAACATCATCGTTACCGTTAGTAATTAGTGGTTAACTGCTGTTATTAACATCATAGTTACCGTTAGTAATTAGTGGTTAACTACTGTTATTAACATCATAGTTACCGTTAGTAATTAGTGGTTAACTACTGTTATTAACATCATAGTTTACCGTTAGTAATTAGTGGTTAACTGCTGTTATTAACATCATAGTTACCGTTAGTAAATTAGTGGTTAACTACTGTTATTAACATCATAGTTACCGTTAGTAATTAGTGGTTAACTGCTGTTATTAACATCATAGTTACCGTTAGTATTAGTGGTTAACTACTGTTATTAACATCATAGTTACCGTTAGTAATTAGTGGTTAACTACTGTTATTAACATCATAGTTACCGTTAGTAAATTAGTGGTTAACTGCTGTTATTAACATCATATTTACCGTTAGTATTAGTGGTTAACTACTGTTATTAACATCATAGTTTACCGTTAGTAATTAGTGGTTAACTGCTGTTATTAACATCATAGTTACCGTTAGTAATTAGTGGTTAACTACTGTTATTAACATCATAGTTACCCGTTAGTAATTAGTGGTTAACTGCTGTTATTAACATCATAGTTACCGTTAGTAATTAGTGGTTAACTACTGTTATTAACATCAAGAGTTACCGTTAGTAATTAGTGGTTAACTGCTGTTATTAACATCATAGTTACCGTTAGTAATTAGTGGGTTAACTACTGTTATTAACATCATAGTTACCGTTAGTAATTAGTGGTTAACTGCTGTTATTAACATCATAGTTACCGTTAGTAATTAGTGGTTAACTACTGTTATTAACATCATAGTTACCGTTAGTAATTAGTGGTTAACTGCTGTTATTAACATCATAGTTACCGTTAGTAATTAGTGGTTAACTACTGTTATTAACATCATAGTTACCGTTAGTAATTAGTGGTTAACTACTGTTATTAACATCATAGTTACCGTTAGTAATTAGTGGTTAACTACTGTTATTAACATCATAGTTACCGTTAGTAATTAGTGGTTAACTACTGTCATTAACATCATCGTTACCGTTAGTAATTAGTGGTTAACTACTGTCATTAACATCATCGTTACCGTTAGTAATTAGTGGTTTACTGCTGTTATTAACATCATCGTTACCGTTAGTAATTAGTGGTTAACTACTATTATTAACATCATAGTTACCATTAGTAATTAGTGGTTTACTGCTGTTATTAACATCATAGTTACCGTTAGTAATTAGTGGTTAACTGCTGTCATTAACATCATAGTTACCGTTAGTAATTAGTGGGTTAACTACTGTTATTAACATCATAGTTACCGTTAGTAATTAGTGGTTAACTACTGTTATTAACATCATAGTTACCGTTAGTAATTAGTGGTTAACTGCTGTTATTAACATCATAGTTACCGTTAGTAATTAGTGGTTAACTACTGTTATTAACATCATAGTTACCGTTAGTAATTAGTGTTTAACTGCTGTCATTAACATCATAGTTACCGTTAGTAATTAGTGGTTAACTACTGTTATTAACATCATAGTTACCGTTAGTAATTAGTGGTTAACTACTATTATTAACATCATAGTTACCGTTAGTAATTAGTGGTTAACTGCTGTCATTAACATCATAGTTACCGTTAGTAATTAGTGGTTAACTGCTGTCATTAACATCATAGTTACCGTTAGTAATTAGTGGTTAACTGCTGTCATTAACATCATCGTTACCGTTAGTAACTAGTGGTTAACTGCTGTCATTACATCATCGTTACCGTTAGTAATTAGTGGTTAACTACTGTTATTAACATCATAGTTACCGTTAGTAATTAGTGGTTAACTACTGTTATTAACATCATAGTTACCGTTAGTAATTAGTGGTTAACTGCTGTCATTAACATCATAGTTACCGTTAGTAATTAGTGGTTAACTGCTGTCATTAACATCATCGTTACCGTTAGTAATTAGTGGTTAACTACTGTTATTAACATCATAGTTACCGTTAGTAATTAGTGGTTAACTGCTGTTATTAACATCATCGTTACCGTTAGTAGTTAGTGGTTAACTACTGTTATTAACATCATAGTTACCGTTAGTAATTAGTGGTTAACTGCTGTCATTAACATCATAGTTACCATTAGTAATTAGTGGTTTACTGCTGTTATTAACATCATAGTTACCGTTAGTAATTAGTGGTTAACTGCTGTCATTAACATCATAGTTACCGTTAGTAATTAGTGGTTAACTGCTGTTATTAACATCATAGTTACCGTTAGTAATTAGTGGTTAACTACTGTTATTAACATCATAGTTACCGTTAGTAATTAGTGGTTAACTGCTGTCATTAACATCATAGTTACCGTTGTAATTAGTGTTTAACTACTGTTATTAACATCATCGTTACCGTTAGTATTAGTGGTTAACTGCTGTCATTAACATCATAGTTACCGTTAGTAATTAGTGGTTAACTACTGTTATTAACATCATAGTTACCGTTAGTAATTAGTGGTTAACTGCTGTTATTAACATCATAGTTACCGTTAGTAATTAGTGGTTAACTGCTGTCATTAACATCATCGTTACCGTTAGTAACTAGTGGTTAACTGCTGTCATTAACATCATCGTTACCGTTAGTAACTAGTGGTTAACTGCTGTCATTAACATCATCGTTACCGTTAGTAATTAGTGGTTAACTACTGTTATTAACATCATAGTTACCGTTAGTAATTAGTGGTTAACTACTGTTATTAACATCATAGTTACCGTTAGTAATTAGTGGTTAACTGCTGTCATTAACATCATAGTTACCGTTAGTAATTAGTGGTTAACTGCTGTCATTAACATCATAGTTACCGTTAGTAATTAGTGGTTAACTGCTGTTATTAACATCATCGTTACCGTTAGTAGTTAGTGGTTAACTACTGTTATTAACATCATAGTTACCGTTAGTAATTAGTGGTTAACTGCTGTCATTAACATCATAGTTACCGTTAGTAATTAGTGGTTAACTACTGTTATTAACATCATCGTTACCGTTAGTAATTAGTGGTTAACTACTGTTATTAACATCATCGTTTGATTTTAGATATAGATTTTTAGACATAATACATACTGGTTCTGTTATTCTCTTCATAAATAACTCCTGGATCCTCAGTTAATTCAAATACACAGAACCTTTAATGTATGGATCTACAGAAGCACTTTCAATGAGAAACACTTTGAATGAAATCAATCTGCTTCATATATATGAGGGTGTGTTCAAATTAAGACTTTAGTGCAGGGGTGGGGAACCTCCATCCTCCGGGCTGTATACGGCCCTCGAGGTAATTTATAAACGCACGCAACAAAAATATAAAATAATTAAAGAAATCTAGACCGCGATATAATCAAACAATCGACTGCCTGTTTTTCCTGGCCAAGGACAGGTTCCTTGAACACAACACGAGCGTAATGTGTCATCACGTGGTGTGGTGCTTCCTGAACGCACCGGAATGCAGCTCCAGCACTTCACAAACTGCAGAACCCACGAGGAGCCGTACACATGCTGTGTTCTGTGCCTGGCTGTGTCTTTAGTTGTAAGCCCAGTGGCATCTGCTCATCTCTCATACTGATCATACAATAACACCATAGAAATCATATGATACATTACAGTACTAGTACTTCTGGGTCTTTGTGTGTCACTCAAGCTCGGCTCTGTGTGTGTGGCACGAGCATTGTGAGTGTAATAAATATTTATCACAAAGACACGTACAGTCCGATGTTGTAGAAATTTAAAAAAGGTTCCCCGCCCCTGCATTAGTGAGACGGACTGATGCCATCTCTCTCCTTTATAATCACTCAGCAGGGGGTAATAAACACCTGGAGTTACAGAACACATTTACTACGTGTTACAGAGCTAGTGTTCAGGTTAGAGGACTGCTCTCACATGCTTCATACAGCTTCAGTGACACAATATATATAAATATATACATTTATATATATAGATATATATATATATATCTATATATATATCTATAGATGTGATGCTGAGAGAGCAGAGAGACACCTTCTATATATATTTGTAATGTATTTAGTGAATGAAGATAGTGAGTTATTAAAAACAGAAGTATCATAACCCCTTCAGAGATATTAGGTGTTTCTGCTGCTGAGGCAGAGTCTCACCACCAGGTGGAGACAGAGACTAATCAAAGCATTCACTGGGTCTACAGACTCACCTGAGAGAGACAGGGTCTACAGACTCACCTGAGAGAGACAGGGTCTACAGACTGAGAGAGACAGGGTCTACAGACTCACCTGAGAGAGACAGGGTCTACAGACTGAGAGAGACAGGGTCTACAGACTCACCTGAGAGAGGCAGGGTCTACAGACTGAGAGAGACAGGGTCTACAGACTCACCTGAGAGAGGCAGGGTCTACAGACTGAGTGAGACAGGGTCTACAGACTCACCTGAGAGAGGCAGGGTCTACAGACTGAGAGAGACAGGGTCTACAGACTCACCTGAGAGAGACAGGGTCTACAGACTCACCTGAGAGAGACAGGGTCTACAGACTCACCTGAGTGAGACAGGGTCTACAGACTCACCTGAGTGAGGCAGGGTCTACAGACTCACCTGAGTGAGACAGGGTCTACAGACTCACCTGAGAGAGACAGGGTCTACAGACTCACCTGAGAGAGACAGGGTCTACAGACTCACCTGAGAGAGACAGGGTCTACAGACTCACTTGAGAGAGACAGGGTCTACAGACTCACCTGAGTGAGGCAGGGTGAGCTGGTAGTCAAGCTTAACGTTGTGTTGGCAGAACGTCTCCTTCGCTGCTCTCGCCTGGGCCAGGATTGCAGGATCCTTGTTGAAGAACTCTGCGTTCCTCACACCATAAGCAGTGTATCCAACATACTCCCCCACACTGCTGTCAAACCTGGTGTGCTCCAACTTGTTGTAATAGTATGACTGTATGTACTGGATGTCCTTCAGCTCAGAGGAGGTGAACTCACAACGGCCAGTCACATATTCCAGATATCCATCTGAAGCAGAGAAAGAGAGTCAGAGTGTGTCTCAGTTTGTCTCAGTTTGTCTCAGTTTGTCTCAGTTTGTCTCAGTTTGTCTCAGCTTGTCTCAGTTTGACTCAGTTTGACTCAGTTGTCTCAGTGTGTCTCAGTTTGTCTCAGTTTGTCTCAGTTTGTCTCAGCTTGTCTCAGTTTGTCTCAGTTTGTCTCAGTTTGTCTCAGTTTGTCTCAGTGAGTCTCAGTTTGTCTCAGTTTGTCTCAGTTTGTCTCAGTGAGTCTCAGCTTGTCTCAGCTTGTCTCAGCTTGTCTCAGTTTGTCTCAGTTTGTCTCAGTTTGTCTCAGTTTGTCTCAGCTTGTCTCAGCTTGTCTCAGTTTGTCTCAGTTTGTCTCAGTTTGACTCAGTTTGACTCAGTTTGACTCAGTTTGTCTCAGTTTGTCTCAGCTTGTCTCAGTTTGTCTCAGTTTGTCTCAGTTTGTCTCAGTTTGTCTCAGTTTGACTCAGTTTGTCTCAGTTTGACTCAGTTTGACTCAGCTTGTCTCAGTTTGTCTCAGTTTGTCTCAGCTTGTCTCAGTTTGTCTCAGTGTGTCTCAGTTAGTCTCAGTTAGTCTCAGTTTGTCTCAGCTTGTCTCAGTTTGTCTCAGTTTGACTCAGTTTGACTCAGCTTGTCTCAGTTTGTCTCAGTTTGTCTCAGCTTGTCTCAGTTTGTCTCAGTGTGTCTCAGTTAGTCTCAGTTAGTCTCAGTTTGTCTCAGCTTGTCTCAGTTTGTCTCAGTTTGTCTCAGTTTGTCTCAGTTTGACTCAGTTTGACTCAGTTTGTCTCAGTGTGTCTCAGTTTGTCTCAGTTTGTCTCAGTTTGTCTCAGCTTGTCTCAGTTTGTCTCAGTTTGTCTCAGTTTGTCTCAGTGAGTCTCAGTTTGTCTCAGTTTGTCTCAGTTTGTCTCAGTGAGTCTCAGCTTGTCTCAGCTTGTCTCAGCTTGTCTCAGTTTGTCTCAGTTTGGTCTCAGTTTGTCTCAGATTGTCTCAGCTGTCTCAGTTTGTCTCAGTTTGTCTCAGTTTGGTCTCAGTTTGTCTCAGTGAGTCTCAGTTTTGTCATCAGTTTGTCTCAGTGTGTCTCAGTTTGTCTCAGCTTGTCTCAGTTTGTCTCAGTTTGTCTCAGCTTGTCTCAGTTTGTCTCAGTTTCTCTCAGTTTGTCTAAGTTTCTCTCAGTTTGTCTCAGCTTGTCTCAGTTTGTCTCAGTTTGTCTCAGTTTGTCTCAGTTTGACTCAGTTTGACTCAGTTTGTCTCAGTGTGTCTCAGTGTGTCTCAGTTTGTCTCAGTTTGTCTCAGTTTGTCTCAGCTTGTCTCAGTTTGTCTCAGTTTTGTCTCAGTTTGTCTCAGTTTGTCTCAGTGAGTCTCAGTTTGTCTCAGTTTGTCTCAGTTTGTCTCAGTGAGTCTCAGCTTTGTCTCAGCTTGTCTCAGCTTGTCTCAGTTTGTCTCAGTTTGTCTCAGTTTGTCTCAGTTTGTCTCAGTTTGTCTCAGCTTGTCTCAGTTTGTCTCAGTTTGTCTCAGTTTGTCTCAGTGAGTCTCAGTTTGTCTCAGTTTGTCTCAGTGTGTCTCAGTTTGTCTCAGCTTGTCTCAGTTTGTCTCAGTTTGTCTCAGCTTGTCTCAGTTTGTCTCAGTTTCTCTCAGTTTGTCTAAGTTTCTCTCAGTTTGTCTCAGTTTGTCTCAGCTTGTCTCAGTTTGTCTCAGTTTGTCTCAGTGTGTCTCAGTTAGTCTCAGTTTGTCTCAGCTTGTCTCAGTTTGTCTCAGTTTGTCTCAGTTTGTCTCAGTTTGACTCAGTTTGTCTCAGTGTGTCTCAGTTTGTCTCAGTTTGTCTCAGTTTGTCTCAGTTTGTCTCAGCTTGTCTCCGTTTTGTCTCAGTTTGTCTCAGTTTGTCTCAGTGAGTCTCAGTTTTCTCAGTTTGTCTCAGTTTGTCTCAGTTTGTCTCAGTGAGTCTCAGCTTGTCTCAGCTTGTCTCAGCTTGTCTCAGTTTGTCTCAGTTTGTCTCAGTTTGTCTCAGCTTGTCTCAGCTTGTCTCAGTTTTGTCTCAGTTTGTCTCAGTTTGTCTCAGTTTGTCTCAGTGAGTCTCAGTTTGTCTCAGTTTGTCTCAGTGTGTCTCAGTTTGTCTCAGCTTGTCTCAGTTTGTCTCAGCTTGTCTCAGTTTGTCTCAGTTTCTCTCAGTTTGTCTAAGTTTCTCTCAGTTTGTCTCAGTTTGTCTCAGCTTGTCTCAGCTTGTCTCAGTTTGTCTCAGTGTGTCTCAGTTTGTCTCAGTTTGTCTCAGTTTGTCTCAGTTTGTCTCAGTTTGTCTAAGCTTGTCTCA